CCTTTTACGCTCATCTATCTTCTCCCCCGCGCACAACCGCTCCCCCATTCTCTGCGCACAACTGCTTCCCCTCTTCCTTCACTGCGCATCATCGCCCGACTTCACCCTAGCCATCGCCGCCGCCACCGATTTTTGCCCTGCACACAAGATCAATTTCTCTCTCACGCCGCCGTTGCTGCCAATTTCTCTGTACGCCGCTGCCACTAAGGTTCTCCTCCACCCTTCTTATTCTTCTTCCTCTTTCTCTTCTTCTTCTTCATCTTGTTCTTCTTCTTCTTCTTCTTCTTCTTCTTCTTCTTCTCGATTTTCCTCCATTTTTTCTGAATTTTGAATTGTTTTTCCAGTTTTCAGACTTCTATTTCGATTTTCTGATTTTTAATTTCGGAGTTTAAAAAACCGATTTTCATAAATTTTTGGATGATTGCTTTAGATTTGGCCAAGTTTATGGCAAAAATGTGTACATTTACAATCATATTATGGAAGAAATGCTTTGGTATAAATTGGTTTTTCTGTTTTTTTGTCAATAGCGTCGTTTTTCTAATTTGTGGTTGTGTTAAAATGCTTGTTCCATTAAAATTTTTAGTTGTTTGAATATTTGGTTATTTACTTCATGTTTTTTTTATTTTTGCCAAATTTGTGGCAGTTTTGTGTGACTGATGCCAAGTTGAATCTGCCAACTTTTTTGGCAGATCTGAAGCACTTGTTCATGGCAGAAGTGAATCTAATCCCCAATGCTAAATCTGCCAAGTTAATGGCAGATTATTCCGTCTGAGTTGTCACTGTTGTGGCGGTGCTCAGAGGATGATGGCTTGGGTGGATGGTGACGCCGGTTAGATAGTTCTATATTTCTGAACCCATTGTCTGGGGCTGCACAATGTTCTTAAATGGATTTATTTTTATTTTTCAAAATTTAAATTACACCATAAACTCCTATAAAACTAGTCATGGTAGGCAACTAGAGTAGAAGTACATCTAACCAAACTTTGTTTTAAACTTATGGACTTTATCTAACTATTCAATAGTGTTTTAAATTAGAGTAGAAGCACATCTAACTATTTAACTTGTGGAGTAAAAGTTTTCATAAGTGTTTTCACTTTTCACATTATAACTTATAGTAGTTTTTTTAATAATTAAAGGTCAAATTTGAGAAACTTTAACTATTAAAGTTAAAGAGGGAACTTGTTTTTGAGACAAAAGGGGTACTATATTAAAAACAAATGCTGCGCGAGTGTTAAAATTAAAGGACCTGAGTATGAGAGCAGTGAGGTAGATCAGAATCTTTGTCTGAAAATATCAATATCTACTGGTGGAATTTGTTTAACTTCATTTTCTTTAGTTGGATGACAGCTTCTTCACAGCCCTCCTTTATTTGTGATCTCATCTCCGCCTTAACTTCTGAGATAGAAACACCATCAATAAACTAACCAAAATAATATATGAATATCTATAAATATATAAATATAAATATAATCTGTGGACCGGTTTTAATCTAAAAAAATACTAGTTTAAATAAATAAAATTAAAATAAGTTTTACCTCATATAAATAAAAAATAGGCTAAAAGGTCAAATAGGTACATGAACTAACTTAAAGTGTTCAATTAGCTTCTTATATAGGAGGTTCTGCTCGACCGTCACCAATTGGGGCGGTTCCCGATGAACAATTTTGATAAAATTTTTTGAGCATCTTCTTCATTAAGTCTAGTTTACCCATATCAAATTTCAGCTAAAAATTAAATCGGAGAGGCAGTCAAATGATTTTCCGAAATGTACTGCGCTGTTTAACTGCGTAGTTATCTTCAAAAAATCATTTGACTGCCTTCCCGGTTGAATTTTTAGCTGAAATTTGGTACGAGTAAACTAGACTTAATGAAGAAGATGCTCAAAAACTTTCATCAAAAAATTCCACCGGGAACTTCCCCAATTGGCGACGGTCGGGCAGAACGTTTTATTATAATCATATCTTTATTACTTATGTCATACGCATAGTTATCACTTGTTCAAAAATGTCACTTTTGTTATTTAAGTCAAGGTCCCATCTGGTCAACATAATTATTATAAACATTTCACTTTTATTGTTGAAACATTTTTATCTAATTAAAAATGTCAGCGATATTAAAATTTTATTTAATTCAATTAATTATTAAAGTATGACTTTCAAGACATTTTATCAGACTAATAAAAATTATTTATTTTATTTAAAATTTTCAAGTGTCACAATAACTTGTAAGACCCCGGCCTCGCAAGATCCGAGGTAGTTACTCCAAACCTCTAGTGTTGTCCTCACAAACATCAACTAGCCTTTAACGTACACTTTGTCCTCACTCATGTGCACCCTGAGAAACTTCTCAGGGGGTCATCCATCCCAATACTACTCTCGTGCAAGCACGCTTAACTTTGGAGTTCTTAAGTGATGAGTTCCCTTAAAAGGAGATGCATCTTGTTAGTATGAGTAGTACTATTAAAAGGAGGCGCCACCTCCCCTGGCCGCCCAATGCTCTCATCGCAGAAATAAGAGCTCTCGAACCCTAGAATCCAATAACCGACAGCCCTCTTTGGAGTATTATGTTCTGCCACGACAATATTCCCCTCGTTTTGGACCTACATGCGCATTAATTTTACACGGGCCGAATTCAGGTCCCAACAGCTCTTTAAACTCAGCTTCCGTTTTTCTTTCTTTTATTTCTGTACCTTGACACATTGTAATATCATCTGATTAATATATCTGGTAAATGTTACTCGACATTTACCTCTCCTCTGGGAGCTTTCTTCAGGCGCAAAAAAAAGAGTAGTACTATTAATCCATTTGAATTAAATCTCAAGTATTATAATCACCCCCACTTAGGAAAGCAACGTCCTCGTTGCGCCCATAAACCAATCTCAAATTTCAATCAAATCCCAGAACCCTACCCCGCTAAGTGCCCGCCCGATATCCAACGGGGCAGCACACTGTAGTAAGGTTGCTCTGATACCACCTGTAAGGCTGTAACACCCTTGCCTCGCAGGACCCGGGGTAGTTACTCCCAACCTCTAGTACTGTCCTCACAAACATCCACTAGCTTTTAACGCGCACTTTGTCCTCACTCATGCGCACCTTGAAAAACTTCCCAGGGGGTCTCACCCATCCCAAGACTACTCCCGTGCAAACACGCTTAACTTTGAAGTTCTTGAGTGATGAGTTCCCTTAAAAGGAGATGCATCTTGTTGGTATGAGTAGTACTATTAATCCGTTTGAATTAAATCATTAAATCTCAAGTATTACTAGTGTACTATTTCCTTTTTATTGTATTGTATAAATACTAATTCAAGGCCATAAATGAAGCTTTTATGAGGGTGAACCTTTCTTGCGGGGATCGAGGAGATCAAACATTTTTATTCCTGGTATGACAAATTAAATTAGATGTTGCTTTATAATACGATAGTATTTTACAGTGTTATTCTCTATTTCAATCCTTATATTTTCCTTCCCGTTTTTAGAGGTAATTTGAGTTTGCACACCATATTATTGTCCAAATTGGACTTTTCACTCCATATTATTGTCCAAATTAGACTTTGCACCCCATTTTTAAAAACATTTGTTTTTGCATCCCAATCTCGTATGGAAAGATAAAAATGCCCCTCCATTAACAATTTTATTGGCCTTCAACATATTCCTGATCGAGGGACATTTTTGTCTTTTCATACGGGGTTGGGGTGAAAAACAAAAGTTTTCAACCATCCTTCATTTGTTTTCCCCTTTTCTTTTTCTTTGAGCAATTTGTATTATGACTTACGTATGTACATAAAAATATACTTCATCCGTCCCATAAAATTTTTCTCGATTTGACTTGTATTGGAGTTTAACAAATAGAATTAAGAGAGATCGTACACCGAGAAAAATTAATAAAACAATTGCAATATTAAGAATGGGTAAGGTAGATCAATTTGCAACTTGAACACTAACTCACTACGATAAAATAAACTTCGGAGTGATGCATAAGAGGTGTTTATGCATCCCTTAAAAATTAATGCCTAGGAAGTGTTTACAAAGATAAGTTTATGCATCCCGTATTTAATATTTTTAAAATATTATTATGGGTATATGGATCACTTATTTGGAGATTCAAAAGGTTCTTTTTGTAAACATAGAGCATATACACTGCTCTATACATTGGGCATGACATAAAGCATTGAATTTATTGTTAAAATAGCTAAAATAGCAATCTTAGGTGATAGGTAACTGGTAACTTGTTAATAATTTGTTGGTAACTGGTGTGCGTAATAATGACCAATTAATTACGGAGTACAACATTAATATTGAATTAACTACGTAAGTAATAAGCACATTAATAACCCTTTGACATGTGTTCTGCGGGCTAGTTGACTAGGTCTACTCCCTCTTAGCCGAATCTATTGCTCCACTAAAGGAGTGAGGAACACGTGATGGCGTTATGACACTAGACCGAGAGTCTAATCGGCCCAGGACCCGGATTTGGACCCTCGAGTTCATGGCCACGACCCACATCTAAAATTTAGCTCATTATCACTACCCATGTTTCATCTTTCCCCCAAGATGTGCCCACAAAGATCTTGGATTTAGAGCATGCTTGATTTTGGAATTGATGAAATTCTGACTACTAAAGTGACTGAATGAGTTGGATCTACTAAATTATGAAAAAATGAATAAATAGCTAAAATCTTCCTCTATAGTAACTTAAGTCGAAGTAGCTTTGATGACCTTACTTGTTTTGATAAAAGAGTTGGACAGTGATTTGATCATCCTACATATAAAACTTGAAACCAATAAGTTGAACTCAATAAACAAAAAAATGTACAATAAACATGGAAAAATATCTAAATAAGAGTAAAAATATTTTGAAATTCTAGAATAGCCGGAATAGGAGTGTCATGTTTTTATTCCCTTGAATAGAAGTAATTGTTATCAAACTTGGAAAATACTACAATGTTTTAAGTCTAATAATATCAAAATATGACAATAATTACTCCTATTTAGCGAATAAAAAATGATAGTAGTATTTGAACCGCACAAACGTTTTTAGCGATAGTTTCTCTTACAAAAAAATAATTCACTCTAAATTTCAACCTAGGGTAACACACAGTCTTGTTCAATCACTAGCTCTATCTGATAAGGCCGCCTGCATGGGTAGCTCAGTTGGTCGAATGGTGGAAAAGTTAGAGAAGTGACCAACGATAAAAACTAACGGCAGTCGTGTGGAGGTTACAACTTTGTGCACAGGTACAACCTCTCATACGTTCAGTCTGGTCAGGGTGGAGTACCCTTGAGATTGAGGATTCAACTTTTTGAAGGAACTCAACCTGATAGGGTCGGGACTCGGAAAGCGCTGACAACAATAACAAAGCAAAACAAAACACTAGAGAATACATACTACGTGTTTATTTGCCTTGTTGATGGATATTTGATATTTGTATCTTACTTAATTGCTCCCCTATATGATTAGCGATGGCTACACAAATCCAAGAGCATCTTCCTACCCTCGACAATTTCATCAAAGAAATCGTCAAGCTGAAGAGTAATATTCTCAATGCCAGATCTCAGCACACTAAAGCAATCCTTCAAGCTCTCAACTTTTTCCCTTATATCATCCCCTCCCACATTCATCAACCCTCTCCTCCTCTCCAGCTCAACCTTCAGGTCATCCATGACTGCCTGGCATCTCTTAAAGTCAAAGAGCAGAACACCCGGCCGGCTTCCGCCAGCCTGTCCGATCCCATCAGCCACTGTCCGGTGCAATCTTGAGGCTGATCCAAAGAACAACCGCCCTCCGCCTCCTCCTGCTTCATAGTAGGAGGAGGCGGGGAAGGCGGTTGATTCGGGGGGAAAATGGACGAACCCGTAGAGCAAAATGATGAGTAGGAGGGAACTGACATTCCTCATGGCGTACAAAACTCCCCTGAAGCCGTTAAACCCATTCAGCTTTGACTCCATTGACACCACGCCGTCAAACCTCAGAAGAGAAGAGAGTGGCTCTATTCTTGTCTCCATCAAACCCCTGTTTTCTTCCTCAAGTCCTGCTGCCTCTCTTCTGCATCCTGATATTGCTCTCATCACCTGCTTTTTCATCAAGAAAATCCATCATTATTCATATTTCCACAAGGAAACCCAATAAAAAGAAAAGAAATTTGTCGAAAACACATAGCTTGTTCTTTCTTTCTTTTCTCAAAACATAACTTCAATATATTTTCCAACGTAACCTGAATACCGATTTATGTTACTACGTACTGCGTATGATTTTTTCGAGTTAATAATACTCCCTCTCTCGTTTTTAGAGGTTAATTAGATTATCCATAAGAGGGCCCCTGATTTATGGGGCCCCATTTTTAAAAAATTATTAGTATTATATAGTAATATTATATACTCTCTCCATCCCCCAATTAAGTTTCATGTTTGACTTCACACATATTAAAAAAATAAATTTGACTTTACTGTGGAGTGCACTGTTTTGCACTGTTCAAACGTTGTTTGGACACTGTTTTACACTGTTTTGCACTGTTTGACACTGTTTTGATGTAGATAATTTGCCAAATAAGGAAAGTAAGGAAGTATGAACTTAATTTAGGGACTGCTCAAAAAGGAAAGTGGTAACCTAATTGCGGGACGGAGGAAGTATTGAAATACAGTTGGTAATTAAGGAAGAAAAATATGGATTTATTATTTATCTCGTTGGTTCGTTTTGTTCTCTTCTATTCAAATTGCTTGAATAATGTTGTGTTACTTTAAATCAAGTATTAAATAAGTTTTTGAAAAAAACATTACTCCCTCCGTCCCGAAAAGGTTTGCCAAATTTCCTTTTTTGGATGTCCTAAAAAGATTTGTCATTTCCATTTAAAGTAAATAATATGTGACTAAAGTTAACTCTCTCTCCTCTGCACAAATTTCAATAATACAATTTTTACTTTATTAATCCACATGAAAGTCAAAATTGTCGAACCTTTTCGGGACGAAGGGAGTATTACATTATTTAATGAGTATTCAATTGATTTGAATATGAATATTTAGATTGAGACTTTTTTTAATTTTTTATATTGATGTGGGGGGCCTCGATTTTACATTTGAAACCAGGGCCCTCGAATACATTAGATGGTTCTGCATCCGCCCCATTTTACATGTCTTACTTTCTTTTTTGGGTTGTCCCAAAATAAGTGTCACATTTTCCCTTTTGGAAAGAAATATGTGATTCACATCATTTCATTTTATTGTACTCAAATCTCAACCACAACTTTTACCTTTTCAACAAATTTATTAAATATTGTGCCCAAACTAAATGAGACACATAAATAAAATGGGATAAAGCTTAGGAGGCAGTAATAATTTTCAAATAATTTCTAAAGATATGATCCGTACATATTCCCATACAGTCACGAAAAAATTAATTAATTTTATAATGGTCGATTTTTTTGATGATTTGCAATGGTCACCTTTGTGAATCATTTTTTACACATCAAGGGGAAGGGTATAATACTACAGAGTATAATCCAACCATACCAACCAAATTTAATACTTTCAACGCGTAATTGGCTTCCCCACTATCATTTGATGAGATTTGACTAAAGTTTAAGTTAATCTTATTCTAATAGCATTTAAAATAGTGTTATGTGTTAATGTTTAAATTATTTGGGAAAATACAATAAATACCCCCAAACTTTCATGAAGTGTGAGATAAGTACCCCAAATTTGCATATATAATGTATAGGGGTTTCCCCCTGAATATTACTAAATTAAGACTGATTTCCAAAAATGTGACGACTTTTAAATTTGGACAAAAATGTGACCATTTTTTAAATTTGGACAAAAATGTGAGTAAAATAAAGTGACAACAAAATACTCATGTCACTCTCATTTTCATGTCATTGTTGAATGTTGTTGTTGTCATCGCTAGTGTCATTGTTGCCACCATCACTCGTGTCACTGTCGCCGCCGGTCACCGCCGACGACCACAGAACATCACCATTGTGACCCCACAACCGTGACACCGCTGATGGCCATAGTGACACCGCCAACCACAATGACACTCTACAGTGACATATTTGCCCAACTTCTGGCCACAATGACATCTCCGGCGTCCGATCACCACTGTCGCCAGCCAACGCTACCGGTAACAGTGACAAATCTGCGGTGACACACAAATTACTCCGGTCGCCGTCTTCCGGTTAGTTACCATGCCAACACCGCATTCCACCACCACCACGCCACTGCCACCGCCACCGCCGCCCACCATTTCCCCCTCCCTTGCTCCAGGCGGCCAAACCCCTGTCCTCTAGCCCCTCCGCAATCCACCTCTCCCCAGCCTCGATTCAGCCCCAGTTAGCCCAACCCCAACCACCATTACTCTCGCTCAAGCCCCAATCTCTGCCCCCGCCTCAGAAACCCTAGCCCCCACCACTGTGACCAAAGTCTAGCCGCAGGAAATCGCTGATGGTGGTCACAAATCAGAAGGTTGTCGTCGAACCCTAGCCCCAGCCTGATATAGCTGCATATTAATAATAACTGTAGCACTTAGTTGATCAGTTAGAATTGGTTATATTCTGTTTTGACTTAGTTTGTTAAGTCAAATACGACCATTACTATAAATGTACAGCTGAACATCTCATCATGAATAAGAAATATTATTCATTATCTTCCGATCATTACACTCTCTTCCCTATCTCTGTTTACATTCTTAGAATATGCTAGAACTCTCGAAGATCTCTTTCTTCATCACATGAGTATCTTCCTGCGTCCTGCATCATTGGTATCAGAGCTTCTAAATTCCTGAAGTAATCCGCTGGCTATTACAACCAACTGAATCTGGCACCTTCAAAGACTACTACAGTTCATCATCTCAAGAATATCATGGAGGACAGAATCAACAGTTTAGAGAAGAAATTGGAAGAACAATCTTCCGTTCTGGTGGAAATTATGAAGCATTTGGAGGATCAAGAAAAGAAGAAAAGTATCGAAGTAGAAGAGGATGGCGAAACTTCTGTAACACCAGGTATTCACAACCAAACTACTCACATATCTCTAGGATTTACTCCTAAGGTGGAATTTCCTACTTTTGACAGGTTCAACCCTAGAATTTGGATGAAAAAATGTCAAAAGTATTTCAAGTTGTGTAAAGTTCATGTTGATCATAAAGTTGATTTGGCAAGTATGTATTTTACGGGAAAGGCAGAGTCATGGTTTCATAACTATCTGTTAGTTAAAAATCCGTGGAATGGGATGAATTGGTTGTGGATATATGTGCTCGCTTCGAAGAAGATATAGGAAGCAATACAGTGGAGGAATTTAATAAATTGATTCAGACAGGATCTATCGATGACTATCTAGATTCTTTTGAGAATCTGAGATCTTTGATGGTTCAGAGAAATCCCCTACTACCTGATCAGTATTTCCTGGACAGTTTTATTGGTGGTTTGCAACCTGTATTGAAATCTTTTGTGAAAGCGTTTAAACATGATACTTTGATGGAAGTTGTGGAATATGCTAGACTTCAAGAAGAAGCTCAGAATGCTTCTAGACAAACAGTCAAGCCTCTCTTTCAGAATACTCAAACAATGACATCTTACTATCAGAACAGGCCATCAAACAAACCACTTTTACCTACACCCAAGATACCTCGGATACCTTCCCATAGCAGGCCCATCTCTGCTCAAAGTTCTTCCAAAAATAGTAATCATGTGGCTGCAGCAACCAGGGCAGAAAAGATAGCTAAAGGTCTATGTTATTTCTGTGATGCTCCATACGACATAAACCACAAATGCCAATTCAGGAAAACTCAACTTTTCACAGTTGAGGTACCAGGGATAGAAGAAGAATTGGAGGGGGGGGGGAAGATAGAGAGGAAGAGGAATGCTTGGATATGGGGTTTGAAATGTTAGAAACTGCACCTTGCATTTCTGTAAATGCCTTGGCTGGAACACAAGGTTTTCAAACCATGAGAGTGACTGGCTACTTTAACAAAAAGTCAATCCATATTCTTATTGATCCTGGAAGCACTCATAACTTTCTTGATCAAAGTTTAGCAAAGAAGTTGGGCTGTAAGTTGGAAGCAATAAACCCCCAAGCAGTTTCAGTGGCTGATGGAAACTTCTTGCCATGTCAGTTCAAGTGTGCAGGATTCACTAGGAAGCTGCAAAATACACTTTTCACTTCTGATATGCTACTAATTCCTCTAGGAGGATGTGATATGGTTCTGGGAATACAGTGGTTGTGTACTTTGGGAACCGTTAAATGGAACTTCAAGCATCTTAAAATGGAGTTCTCATTTAATAATCAATCACATGTATTAAGAGGAATAGCTCCCAAGAAACTTAAGGCTATGGGTTCAAATTCAATGATCAAAGATGCAACTCAAATTTATTTGCTACAGGGCAATCTCATGAGCAGCACCAAATGATTTCTTGTTGTTCATTACAACAACCATTTGAAAAATCACCTATATTGAGTGCCCTAATTGAAGAATATGCCTCAGGTTTGGAAGAACCCACTGGACTGCCTCCTTGCAGAGGAGTATTTGACCATAGAATACCATTAATGGAAGGAACTCAACCTGTAAACATCAGACCTTACAGGTACTCTCTGCAACAAAAGGATATTATTGAACAATTAGTACAAGAAATGGAAGAGAGAGGAATTATACAAAATAGCTCCAGCCCCTTTGCTTCACCGGTAGTATTAATTGGGAAGAAAGATGGATCATGGAGGTTTTGTGTAGATTATAGGGAACTTAACAAGAAGACGGTTAAGGATAAGTTCCCCATTCCAGTAGTAGATGAACTGATTGATGAGTTGGCTGGTTCCAGGGTGTTTACCAAACTAGATTTGAGAGTGGGGTATCATCGACTCTGAGTTCATCCCTCAGATGTCTATAAAATTGCTTTCAAGACACATTCAGGTCATTATGAGTTTCTGGTAATGCCCTTTGGTCTTACCAATGCCCCGACATCATTTCAAGGGTGGATGAATGAAATTTTTAGACCTCTATTAAGGAAATGTGTTCTTATATTCTTTGATGATATGCTCATATATAACCAGTCCCTAGATGAGCATATTGAACATTTGAAGGCAGT